ATTTCTTAACCTTGGATATGGATGAGCATTCGACTAGCAATTTAGGGATGATTTCGGCCATCTTTGTGTCGTGAACTTCCTTGAAATTGCGAAGCCAGGTTCCTAAAATTAGAATTGGGACAAAAGGGTTTTCAATTGTGAAGAGGAAATTGGGACCGTGTGAACAAGGCATGGGAGAAAATGGAGAACTGGACACGTGGAGGGCAGAAGTAGAAGGATGAAAGTGCAGCTCATTAATCCTAGCCGTCCACATGTTATTGGGAAATTGAATTTGGGACAAAAGGATCTTATAGGGACGTTTCTCCTCTGAGTATGGGTGGCCAAGGTCGGCCCAGACCCCCGGGACGACTCGGAATTTATCTGGGCCCGGGCGTGGGTGTGGTAGGGGCCGACAATGGAGTAGAAGTTAACGATTTCTGCCTCTTGGATCTCAGAGTCTTTCCCACACCTTTAGACTATTGCGGTTCACGAGAGAACGGAGGAGGAATGTCTCCCAACTTCGGCACACCACCGCCCTCTGACCGGCTCGACCTAGGGGAGGCCGGAAGTTTGCCTTCTTCAACGGGGACCTCTTTGGATGCGTCGGCCTCTTCTCGGGTCGCAGGCTAGGTATGGCCACGATCTGATTACCTTCACGATTCTCGAGATCGGAAACGCGACCCATGTCGCCTCGATCATCGGAACGAACTTCTCGAATCGAACTTACCCCACGTTCATATTTACAGAACACTAACACAAGACTATGAAAAATCCAATTACTACCAAATTCAATCAACTGGGCATTCCTCATGTTTACATAACACTAAACATAGGGCTATGAAAAATCCTACTCCTACCAAATTCAATCATGTCTCAAACCCTATCGAATTTTCACAACTTTACCTGGTCTTCTCCAAATCCTAGACAGGTATTTGACTCTACTTCACAAGACACCACTTTTGGGGAAAAAAATAAATAAAAAATCACATGGGGCTAAAATCAATCACACCCATCTAACAGATATCTTACAGGATTAAACATACTATAAAAATCGAGATGAAACAAAGAAATATAAGAAAAAAAGTTCAATTTTTCCACAAAACAATTAATATTATTTTTTTATAACAGTTTCTAGTTTTTAAGAACAAAATATTTAAATATAAAAAAAAAATAGAAACCTGTCAAGAAACAACATAGTAAAAACAATTTCTTGAACTAACAAAAAAACAGTTTTTTGAACAAGAAAACAGGTTTCTTGAGCAACAAACGAGTTTCTTGTGTTCAAGAAACCTGTTTCTTGTTCAAGAAACGTGTTTCTTGCAAGTTCTTTGAAACAAGTTTCTTGAACAATTTTTTCTTTCATTCCCATAGATCTTTCTTTAGCTCAAGATATCGCCTCTTGACAACAGAAATCGTTTCTTGTGCTAAAAAAATTATTTCTTGAGCGCAAGGAATTGTTTTTTGAGCTCTAGAAGTCATTTCTTGAGCTCCGAGAAATCGTTTCTTATCATTTCTTGTACAAGAGACTGATTTCTTGAACAATAGACAAGTTTCTTGAGCAAGAGACAGGTTTCTTATACAAGAAACATGTTTTCTTGTTCAAGAAACTTGTTTTTTTTCTTGTTCAAGGCAGTTGTCTCTTGCTTAAGAAACATGTTTCTTGTTAAAAAACTTGTGTTTCTTGAATGTTTTGAAGAAACAATTTGTTGAACCTTGAACAAGATTTTTTTCACATAAACTACAGAACTCTATCTTGAACAAAAAACATAAACTCATTAGTTTCTTGAACAATTAAGATTTTTTTCAAATAAACTACAAAACTCTTTGTTCACCAAAAAAACATCATTGCTCATTAGTAGATGTCATCTCTGTTGCAAAGAGGTAAGAAGTTTGTTTGAAGATTTGTTTTCAAATTAAGAAAATGAATAAATGCATCAACTTACATTTGTTAAAAATGAGAATTGAAGAAACGCCTTAATTTACATTTCAACAAAAATGAGAATTGAAGAAAAATACCCTAAAAATCTACACTTAATATTGAATATTCAATTTCTAGAGGCAAATTCCAGGTGAAAATTTACAACAGAAATTAATAAACAAGTAAAACAACAAAGATCTGAAGATAGAAGCCAATAAGAACCAAAACTAAGACACAAACCAACCCCAACAACAAACTAGCAAACAAGCAGCATAACCCTATACTACACAAGAACATCAAAAAATAAAGAAACCACAAAACAATAAATAACAAAGAAAAATAAAACAGTAAACTACCACAAGCCAAAAGACGAGAAAAAACAACAGGACCCTGAAGGACACTGAAGGACAGAATAATTATGAGCTAAAAAAGAAGCACAAGCAGACTACAAAGGTCTAGACGAAGGACAAAATATTGATGGACTTGTTAGTATTAAATCAAGAACTTCAGTACAAGCTCTGGAAAACTTCATAACCAGATAACTTTATACTTTGAATTCCAATTGAAACTACTCAATTGGACTTTTTATTACTTTCATTGCCTCAAAAAAAATTTGTGGGTTACCCCAAGTTTATTCATCTTAAATTTACACCTCTCTGTACCTCGGTAACCTATTTATTAAGTAAATATGCATCAGACTTCCATAAATAATTTACACCTGCATTTTACAGAATGGGTTATATGTTGTATACAATGAGGTCAACAATTCAAGAGACCTCCACAGTCAATAAACACAAGGCAGTACACTATAGATGCTTACCTAATGTTACGTGATAATTAAATTAGTAGAACACAACCTAAGACTCATCATTTTTTACCATCAAGATCCACTCATGTTCTCCATACACAGCTAAGAGAGATAAACT